TCTGAGCTGGGGAAGCAAGAAGTTGGGAGAGGTCCGTGGAATGGCTCTCTGGAATCTGGCGAGTGAGTGGCCATGGGAGATAAGTCACTTTCCCTGGATAAGGGACACTCAAGCCACCTCATTTAGTGAAGACCCGTGGGTGATAAACTGAAGATGTTTCCCACAGCCCAGGCGGGGAGGGCTGTGTGTGCCCACAGCCCAGGCGGGGACCCAGGCCTTTTCAGTCAGGAGCTGGGGCTGGCCAGGCGAGAGCCTTTGAGCTCCCTGTCACTCCCATCAAGGTGACAATTGCTGTTTCCTGAGATGGGAACTACCTCTCAGATGCTGTTGGGAGGAAGATGGTGGTCATGAACTGAGGTGTGTGTGGGGGGGTGGTGTTTGCAGTGGCTTCTCGGCTGCTCCCCCAACCCCGGCATATGCTCACAGTGCTGACCAGCACCAAATGAGCATGAAGTGGCAGAGTCTGCTGTGTTTCTGGGACAAGAAGATCGTGTCTGAACCAGTGGGAGGCTCAGGCTTTCCATAGGCGTTTGCAAACACCTCCACTGAGGAGACCCTGGTGGCAGAGGGGGAGAAGTTGAGAGTCAACAGAGGAGAAAGGATTTGCATCGAGCAATCCTACCCCCCAGAGGACTGTACGAGGCCAGGCTCCGCCCTAGCATATACTTGTAAGCCTGAGAGGGCGCCTAAGAGATGCACTCGCTCTGCAGGCCTAGTGGCTGGAGTCAGGCCCTGGAAGGAGTCCCAAGCCCAGCCTTGTCCAGGCCCCCAACCCTCTGGTCAGCAAGAGCAACCCACACGGGACGGTCCCAGACTTACAGGCGACGTTCACTCATCACTCCATTAGCCGCTCTCCCGCTGACAGTCCCCAGGCGGCTCTCATTCTGGCCAGCGAAAGCGTCCAGGATGATGAGTCTTCAGGGACTCTGAGCTCCCTCACACCAGTTTAACCAGAGCCGAGTGAGGTGGGCAGATTAACTCTCAGGAAAACAATGGCCAGCCATCACCAGGCAATGCCACAGAGGCTCAATGGGGGATTCTAAAGTTGGATGTGGTCCCCATGAGGACCACTCTTCCAAAAGAAGCAGCAAGATGCATGGGAAAAGAGGGAAATGACATAAATCAAAATGCCTGAAATGAATATGGGTCAGAACGTACTTTATGCAAACACAAATGTAAATGGACGTGTAGATCTGCCCCAGGGTGGGGCAGATGAGAAAGTCCTGGCTCCAGAAAATCTTCACAATGAAGCCCTCTGTTCTAATGACTCATTTCCAAAGGTCCTGCATATGTCCTTGGATAGAGTATAGGTCTTCCTGCTGTTCCAGAGACCCAGCCTTCCCACTCCATCTCCCGCCTCTTTTTGCCCCTGGTGGTCTGACCCTCGGTAGAACGGGAACGCAGGATAACCCGGAAGCCAGCGTCCCACCACAGGGTCCTGTCTACCTGTTCCAGTCTACAACCTAGAACGCTCCCCCCCAACCACTACTGAGGTTCGCACATCTGCTGCTGCCCAGGCCCCCACAGGCTCAGCCTGGCCCCGTAAAGTGTGCTCTGCCCATTGGAAAGCCTGCCTTCCCCGTAGTACCCTGACTGTTCCCAGCACCTCCCAAGCCACAGATGTTCACTAACGGACGACCGATGAAATGAATGAATGACTAAACACACATTCAGAGGCAAAGCCGGCTCCCTCTGGGGACCAGCAGCACTCTCCCTCCCCTTCCTGTTCACCATTCTCACAGCTGTCTGGGCTTGGAAGCAAGAGTTCCCACTTATGTCCTCAGCTAGCCTAAACCCGCTGCAGGCAGAGGGGAGCTTGATTGGTCATCTCTGTGGTTCTGGCACCTACTGCGGAAAACTTTGGGATGCGGACTGACTCTGTGAGTACACACCAAGTGTCTGCCCGGTTCTGCCCCCTCCAGGGGCCATGGAGACCTGGACAATGGCGGGCCAGCCACACTGCAGACCCAGGCAGGAAAGAGGAAGAGCAGAAGAACAATGCTGATGCTAGACTCCAAAGGGCTTGGCTCCCAGACAAACAGCAGAAGGGACGAAGAGGGGACAGATGAATAAGGCTTGCGGGCACCCATTGTCAGCTGGGGGCACTCCTTCCCCAGCCCAGGTACCCCAGCTCACCACGTCTGTGTTCAGACCTGAGTTGCTTGCCAGATGCCCGACCTCAGCCCCTTCCCAGGCTTCCTTTCTCCCTCCAGGAGGCCTTGACTCCCGAGAGCTCCGGGTGGGGCTTTTTTTGTCTTTCTTTGCCCATGGAAGAAGTACATCTTGGGAGAACACTTGATCCAGTGCCGTCCACAGCCTCAGTGTCTGGATCTGTAAAATGGGAAATAACATGAGACTCTGTTGGGTTCCATATTGCATCCTGGAGTGGAGCCAGCTGCTTGGTCAGTCTTCTGGGCACAGGGCACCCATCCCTGTTTCCTTGTTACCATCCCTATGGTCCCATGGGCTGTCACCAGTGGTTTCTAGGAGCACTGCCCTGGTTTTTTTTGTTTTTTAAAGTAGAAGGACCAGTGATGTCATTCACTAAGCAGGAGTCCTAGAGTTGCTTTTGCAGGAGGCCTGAGCTTCAGAGGGGGGTGGGGATTCAGGACCATGGAGCCAGAAAAGGAGGTGGCTTGGGAGAGACTTGCAATGGAAGATGTGCAAGAAGGACCAGAGTTGAGGGCGAAACAGAGGATCGAAGTTAGGCACGAGAAAGGGCTTTCCAGTACCCGACAGGCTGAGAGGAAACCCGCGCTCTGGTGACTGACACTCAGGGAGCCTGTGGTTGGAGAGATCACTTGAGCTCATCTTCTGCTTGAGGTTCTCAAAGTGTCAACCTGGTCGTGTGGCTACAGCATTTAGCTTATAACCTAGGTGGCGAGCATTGTCCATTCCCTTTGTATGAGAGGAAACAAGGTCCCAGATGATCATGGGAATGTCCAAAGTTTGCCCAGCAAAGGTGTTGCAGGTTGGGTAGGGCCTGGAGCCAGGCTTATTATGACTCCCCCTCACTCTGCTGAGGCTCAGTTAATTGGCATAGTTTATTTATTTATGTGTTCACTCATTTCTTTGGTGTTACTGGGGATGGAGCTCAAGCCTCGTTCATGCCAGGCAAGCAATCCTTACCTCCTCCACACAGTGCCTGCCGAGTGTTATAGTTTCTTGCTAATTTCTTTGCTGTTAAAGAAAATATGGGAGGTGGGAGAATGGGGGGTGCTGTGGAACCCTGTGTGGCCCACATCTGTCCCTACAGAGGTGTGGAGGTCCGAGGAGCAGATTCTCTCCCGGGCAGAAGGGGGCTGGGCCCGAATTGTGCCCGGGCTTCCTTCCCTCAGAGGCAGAGTCCTCTCTGACCCCATCTGGATGGCCACCCTTTCTCCATATGGCCAGATTCCCCTTAGTCTCCCCAACCAGGCCCATCTCCGCCTTACTCCAAGCCCGCAAACAACATGTTGTTGACAATACTTGGGGGCCAAACACTTGATAAGATGGTCCCCACCACGCCAGACATCCTGACAGCAGGCAGTGCTCTGCACTGGGATGGCGGATGCTTTGAATACATCATCCTGTCAAACAAGTTTATTATTCTTTCACTCAAGATAAACTACAGCTGCCAACGAGGGGCTGTATAAATTCCAGGCTCAGAGCTGGGGCAGGCCCCCTCCCTGTTGAACACTCACTCACACACACATACACCCAAAAATCCTGCTGAGAAAAGCCCCCCTTCCCCAGTCTTGGCTCCTTGCGGGTCTCTGGGGGGCTCAGTAGCTCTATCTCATGGGGTGGTCCCAGGAGCAGCTGCAGACCAAGGAACCCAGGGCTTGGGCCTACCCTTGAGCCGCTTGCCTGCCTGGCCAGGCCTGGGCTGACTTCCTCTGGGTCCAGGGAAGTCTCTCCACAGGAGCCAGCTGCCCTCCCCAGGGTCAAGCCTGGCCTCTTGACTTTTGGACTTCTGTCTGCTCAGGCTGCAACCCTCGTGGGTGGCCAGAACAGTCATAGGTCACGCCAGGCTTGTGGGGACAAGGCCAGCTTTCAGATTCAAGCGTGGATAGCCAGTTCTCAGGGAATCTGACACCATGGAGCCTTCGAAGGCCGTCGTGGGCTGAGGACACGGTTTAGTGGGTATAGGGCCTGCTGGGCAAGGGTGAAGGCCTGAGTTTGAACTCCAGAACCCACCTGAAAAAGCCAGGCATGGTGGACGCTTGTTGCCTCAGCACTGGGATGGGAGGGACCCGCAGATGGCCGGGATCACTAGCCAGCTAGCCTAGCTGAATTGGTGCATTCTAGGTAAACAGTGAGAGACCACATCTTGAAACACAAGGTGGATGGCATCCTAGGGAATGACACCCAAGGTTATTACCTCCCCTTCACATATATGCAGACACGTATGTACTCACACAAACATAAATCACCCCACACACACATGAATGTGCACACACTCAACAGTCAGTGTCTGTCCTGGGCTGGGGTTGGAGAGCTCTGTGAATTTCATACCTTGTGCCCAGAATGCAAACCTGGTTCTTTGTCCTGGGAATCACATGGGATTTATTTTAGTCTTGCCTAGTGACACGACAGGGCTTAGTATTAACAATAAAACAAAAAGCTGGGGACTGAAAATGACAAACCCCAGGGTGACAGCAAAATGTATTTATTGGAGGTGACGAGCTTGGATGACAGACCTGGACTCCTCCCTCCAATCTTTGGTTTCCTTATCCATTGGGTAGGGAGAGTGGTTTCTCTCTTGCGGAACAGTCACAGGGCCTGGCAAAAGTTTGGCTGCCTGTCTTGGTTCACTCACCCTGTTGTTTGGTCAAAGGCCGTTACCATCACTGCCAGGGCAAGTTTGCTGTACCACCCTCCCCGAGAAAGAGATACCACGGCCTCAGCTCCTAAGACAGTGCCAGGCCCTCTATACACAATACTGGCTGGATGAGAACAAGGCATTAAAAAGTGTGCCAAATGCACAGTATCCTCCCAATGCACGCATTTGACGTTGTCTCTCATATTTCCCTGTAGACACATGTGGACCACACATGAGAGGCTGGTGACGTGGGTCTGCATGTAAAGGCGTTTGCAGCCAAGCTCCTTGCTCTCTACGTTGAGGGTACATCTTACAGACTGTGGGCCCACCTGTATCTGAACCTGGTTTCTGGCCCCACCCAGCAGAAGTGCCCACAGCTGGTGCTCGCTCTGCTTGTTGAGAAGGGAACCCAGGAACCAGATCTGCTGCTGTCGTGGTCCTCTGCTCGCAAGCACAGACCCAAGGCCAGATGCCTGAGTGACGTGACAACTTAGGGATCTCATGTCATCCTGACCCAGCAGAAGAGTGGTCACCTGCTCCGTGATGTGGGCCCAAGGATAGACACCTGATTAATGATGGCAGGGGCAGGGAAAAGCATATTGAGAACTCCTGGCAAATACCACGACTCCTCCAGGAACTGTCTCTGCTTCCTTACTCCACTTCTGCTAACTGAGGTCCATGGAGCTTGCCACCCACAGAGAGCTCCCTGGCTGTCCTGGTTCAGCAAACCCGCCAGTCCTCGGCCTCGCTGGAAGTCCGCTTCAACAACATCCCTGCCTCATCCCAGGCCAAGGCCTCTGAGGACCCTGGAGCACCTTGTAAGTGTCCAGAGTGGCCGGGACTGGCACCACCCCTCCCCTCAATGGGAGCTCAGGCCACACAAATAAGTGACTAGGTCAAGGAATAAGCTATCTCTGTTTTATCTCCCTCCCCCAGCCTCTGGCCTCGGGCCACATCAGTCTCTTCCCCAGTGTGAGAAAAGGCAGGGGGGCACCAAGAAGACACTTCTGGGCACTGGCTGCTTGTCAACCCCTGGCTCCTCCCCCAGGGAGTTCAGAGTACAGGCAGAATGGGAGGAGTAGACTGGAGGAGGGCCTCCAGGAGGAGGTGACGCTGGCATGAGGTTCTGAAGGCTGAACCTAGATTCATCAATTGGCCACAGAGACAGGCAATGGGACGCTGGGACAGCCTGGAGGTACACCGTAACCCGGGGTCTGCTGGGACAGGACCAACCCATCCAGAGTAACTGCAGGGACACAAAGAGAAGTGATTGCAAAGGAAGTCAGTCATGGGCCCCAACAGCTTGGGAAACCTGCTAAGCCGAGGCGCTTCGGAGCTGGCGTTCCCCCCCCACCCCCACCCCCCCCACGCCCCTGCCTTTAAGCAGGAACATAGTGTGATCAGACTCGGTATTTAGCAGTGTGTCTAATAAAGAGATAGGGGACAGACAGGGCTGGGGCCCCAGGGAGGGCAGTGACAGCTGAGATGGCAGCTCACTCCCTGCCCCTTACCAGTGTCCCGTTTCCCTGGTTTGTTGAGGAGACTGGGGCCCACATCGGTTAGAGACCTGGGAGTGACTGAGAGTGGTCGGTGGCTCAGGGGCAGCTGCGTGGTCTCTCTTACACTACACCCTGCTTGCAGAACCGCGCTCACACAGCCAAGCCGTGTTCAAAGAAAGCTTGCTACTGGGCAATCGCCTCTGCTCTGTGGTTTTCCGTTCAAGAGGGAGCCGAGTTCATTGAACTTTAGGGCAGCTGTTTCCTCGTCTCTCCTCCGTAGCAATAATACAGTTAATGGGATTATTTCCTGCACACAGGTACGGGGCTGCTAAGAAAACACTGTGGAGTAAAGGCTGTTTGCAGAGGCCAGCTTGAAAGGCAAGCTCACACCAGGAGGAAGAACGGGGTGTGTCTCCACGCGGGCTAAGGTGGACTGATGCCATCCACACCTCAGTTTGCCTTCCGTATGCCTTCACCTCCGCCTCGCTAGGCTCTGAGTCACAGATTTTGCAGGGCTACCAGCCCAGTTCCTTGGCCTCCCAGGTGCCAGATTAGTTGGCTGCCTGGGCCCAGCAGGGACATCCAAGACTGTGTGGGTCACACATCTTTGTAAATGGGGACAGAGATCCAAAGGGGAGGCGGCTTGTCTTAAGTCACACAGTAGGTTGTGACAAGACCTGGTGGTGAAACAGAGGCATAGCAATGGGACATTACCTACCATGGTCATTTAGCTAGCTAGCAGATTACATGGGGAAACTGAGGTTTGAGGATGTGAAATCAATCGTTGACCTATGCACCAACAGTCCAGAGGTGTTAAAATTCAGGATGGGTCCCAGGAGAGGACTCCCCCCCACAAGCCTCTCCCCCCACCTCTTCTCGGAAAGAAGCTAGCGTGGGTCATCCCCTGTTTGCTGAGTCTCAATAACCCCAGCTGGTGGCTCCCACTCCCCTGCACAGCCCCTTCAGATCTTATCACTCCAGCTAACAGAGGAAGCTTCTCACCTGGTGTCCATCCCTCCCCAGGACACACCGTGTGCACAGGTGCATAGGTGGGCGGAGCCAGAGGACATTCCTGGAGACCAGAGACAATGGCAGGGTTAAGAGGGCCATCCTCTTTCACACCTCCTGATTCCTCCAGTTAGTAAATCATTCTCCCGAGCTGTACAAAGCAGCCATTGAGCAGGTCTAGTCCCTGCCCCCCCCAACCCAACCCCCCAGTCCTGTGCCACAGGGAGGTAGAGGCTACTCAGGTCGCTGAGAGTCCGGGTGGCAGGTCCTGAGCTCTCTGCCCGCCCCTCTGGCATGGGGATCAGGTTACCCCATCTAATCCCTGCCCCTCCATCCACCCTCTTTGAGCCCATTGTAATTTATAATGGAGGCATGATGCAACCTGCTAATTACATTGCTGGATTTCCAACACATCCCTGCTTCTCTGAGTCAGGCAGCGGCAGCAGGAGCAGCCGGCTCCGCTTTGTGGCTTATCAGGACTGGGTTATTCAGCTCACACCCGATCCGCCTCCCCCCAGCCTCCTGTCTTTGTTAACCAGGGCTTGCATCACCACCCGCTTTCCATTTCTCTGGAAATTTTTTAACGGCTCTTTTTTATGAGGCGCTCCATCTTGTTAGCTAATGAATGACTGTGGGCCAGCGCCGAAGACTGCTTTGTGCCTCTATTAAATGTTACATGATCGCAATTATAAGTTAACAAGGGACAGCTAATAAAAAAAAGATAATCTATTTTGCAGCCTGGGGCAGACATGCAACTCACTGCCTGGTTCTCAGGCAGAATAATTCAGAGTCTTGGGGATCACAGGCTGGACAGGCCGTGGCCATCAAAGCCAGGGAAGGATGGCCGTTCCCGGCCTGTCAGGGGCATGGCAGGCAGGAGTGCAACAATGTTACCTCCAAACCCCTGCAGGCGGGGTCTGGTTTACTGTAGCTGCTTCCCAGCAGCCCTCCCGTGTCCTGCTTCCCTTCTCCACAGAGAGGCAGAGCGAGCTTCTAAAGACAGATGGGAAAGGGGGTCACACCGCCCCTGCCCTCTGGTGGTTCCCCCACCTCTCCCCACCACCAAGTCCCCTTATTCAACATTGTGCTTTCAGGGAACCTTTTCCTGTCACATATGCCTTCACCAAACCTTGCCCAGACTGGACGGGTAAGAGCTTGGCGACACAGCACCCGGCACAGCAGAGTGTGTCCGCAACTAGAATGGAGCTCTGTGGACCAGCAAGATGACTTCCCCGAGCCCTGGGGTCTGAGCTCCCATAGCGGAAGGAGAGAGCTGACTCCTGAATGGCGTCCTCCTACCACAACCATCTAAGAATGAAACTCCTGGGTAGGTCCCAGTGTAGGCACGGTATGCTCTCCTTGGGCCTCGGTTTCCCCATTCTCTTACGCACACCAACATTCCACGCACACTGCAATTCACTGTCTTACAGTCTCCGCGCAGCCACTCCAGGACACCAAGGCTGTGTGCTCCTGTAGGAGCAGCTACTTGTCGCTGGCGTGGCACTTGGTAAATGCTCCATCAACAAGTTGCTGAAACTAGGCTGGGGATGTAGCTTCAGTGGGTAGCATGTTGAGGATCTCGTTCAGTCATCAGCTAAGCCTCCGTTAACCCCAGCACTAGGAAGCTGGAAGCAGGAGAGCCGTAGGTTCAAAGCCACCCTCAGCTACATAATGGCTTTAAGCCTGAGTCACATGAGACGCTAGGAAAGTTGCTGAATTAAAATATTCTCCAAAAACCGTGGGCATTGGGCTCATTACTGGGTGCCTCTCATATTTATCCATCTCCCATTGCTATAACAAAAATACCTAGGGCTGGGTCCAAAGGTTGCTTTATACAGAAAAGAAGTTGACTTATAGAAGCTTGCAGTTCTAGAGGCTCAAAACACCCCATTGGCTTTGGTAAGGGGCTCGTGGTAGATGATGTCCTGTTGGTAGGCAGTGATCTGTGTAGCAGAGGTCATATAGAGGTCAGAGAGACCCAGGGAGCAGGATAGCTCTCCTCAACAGTCTCTTCTTGGTGTGAGCTGACTTGCTCCTTGAGACCAGCATTAATCACTTCTGGGACTAGTGGCAATATTCACATTATAACACCAGACATCTTCCCTTCACTGTTGCTGGGGAGACATTTGACTCTCCATTTTAAAGCAAAAGCAACTGGGGTTCTGAGAGCTAACGCCTGTTAGTGTTGGGGCTGGACCAGTCTACTCCTGGGCTCTCAACTGACAGCTGAGGCAGGTTGGAAACTGTGTCCAGGTTTCTCTCGTCGTGGCTGCGACCACAGAAGGATCATTACTGGAACGCACCGCGGAAAGACATCTTCAAATGTTGTGGTAGGGCTGTGGGCGAGGAGAAACCACAGCTACCCACATCTGGGTGGTCCGGACCAGCCCCGAGCAGGAGGCTGAGTTAGTAGGGAGGCTGAGGGTCATGCCAGAGTGTGCAGGAAGTCAAAGTCGGGGAGGTCTGTACCAATCCTACCCCCATCCCCCCAAGAAAACCTCAGCTGATGGTGGAACTGCCTACATCATTTGCAGAAAGAAAAGAAAACAAAAAACAAACAGCAAAGCAAAATTAAGAATTTTAAGCAAGCAACAGCTGGGCCTTACACCAAAAGTAAGCCCTTCAGGCCTCACGGCTAGGAAGCCAGTCCACGCCTGTGGGCTGTTTGCCCAGCTCCTACCTCAGGAGTCTATGGCAGATGCTACCATGTGAAGGTCTGGTCCCTTGTTGGCCATGTAACTGGGCGTGAGGTAGGACTGGATAGCCCAGGGACTGGGCATCGAAGGTCTTCTGCTGCACTCCTGCTGCTACCTGTGGAGGCAGCCAGCTAGCAGCTGCCGGAAGGCCAGGCAGGCACTGGATGTTGAAATCACCTGGCCTCTTACTGATTGTGACTGATTCCACTGTATGTTGAGAAAGGTACCTGACCCCACCAAAGGCACCCAGAGTCCCTGGCTGGGTAATTGTGGGAGATCCCAAGCTCTCCTAGTTTTGTGGAACTGAGCAAGGAGTGTGACCTCCAGAGGTGGATCTGTCATCCCCAGAAGATGGAGGCGGGCTCTTAGCAATGGTGAGGACCATGTTGGGACTTAACGTCCTTTGCACGGCATTGCCGTACCTTGAAGGTGATGGGTGGATAGGATGTGTGGGGATTCACCCATAGGCTATATGCACACGTGCAGACTTGTGTGGAGGCACCCGATTCCCACATAGTGCACTCTAGGTACTTGCACACGCGGTGCTGATGCGCGTGGACTGTGCCATAAGTGTCTGACACATCCTTGGTCCCCACGTCTCCAGCAGGTCGTGCTGCCCAGTTCAGCAGTCAGAGCTGCAGGCAGGGCTGAGAAACCCATTGGACTCTTCGGTTCCTCTGTCGCTATGTCCTTGGACAACTTGTATAGAGTCTTCAATGCAGCTTTGGGTCTATAAGAGGACTCACAGCTGCACTTCCTAAATACCCAGGAGGGGTCTAACAAAGCACACTGCTATTTTTTTTAATCTCTGTGACTGCCACACCAGACACCAGGGCTAGCACAGAAAGTACAGCTAAAGGCCACGACCCTTCGCCACCATAAATGCCATGGGCAAGCTTCTAACTCAGCTGTCTGTAGCACAGAGACGAGCAAGGCTGGGGTAAAACACCATGGCCCCCCGCAGCTCCCCGGACTCCTTAGGGTGGTCCCCGAGCCTGATGACGAGTCCCCATTTGGAACACACACGAGGAAGGGCCTGGTGGGGTGGGGCACCTAGTTTTCCAGGACCGTGGGCCTGGCCTCAGAGGCCACCCACCCACTGCAGGGACTGGCAACCATGCAGGGCAAGGTAAATCACCCAAGATTGCTCTCTGGAATGTGGGGGCTGTGAAAGGTAACTCGCGTATCACTGCTATGTAAACATAGTTAAACTATTTACAAGACAGGCCTAGGCCTGGGGGCCCCAGGAAGCCCCTGCCATGTGGGGTGTGCGAGCCACCCCTCTTCCAAGCTCTGCTGGTCGCAAGGGTGAGGAAGATGACCGTTGGCTTTTTTCTGGCAGCCACACTACCCAGGGCCCCCTCATTGGCCGTTCATCGGCAAGCTTCTGAAGGCAAGCAGAACAACAGTTCCCCACTGTTTTGTTTTGGGCAGTGTGCAGAGGATGCTTTGGAAGTGGGCAAGGAATTTGCCCTGCATCCCAAGGAGGCTCAAGACAGACCTCCATGTGGGATGCAAAGGAAGAAACTGAGGCAGAAGCCCCACGCTGCACTGAGGGCCCCAGACAGATGGAAGAACCAGTGTCGGCCTCCGGAGCCTCAGGTCTGACGGTGGAGACACAGCTTCCGCCTAAGCTCATGTCCCCATCCCACCCAATCTAAGAACTAAGGTTAGCCTTTCAAGGGCTCCAACGTCTGCCCTTTCTTGGGGTGACTGGACCGGAATGCCCAAGGCTTCAGGGAGGCTCTGGGCATGAGCTGCTCTGAAGGGTGAAGACCCCGAGGGTAGCTAAGCAGACAGTTGCAGGTTTATACCCGGGCTGGGCCCCTCTCTGTGCAGGACAGATGTCGGCCTTACCCTCGTGCCTTCTCCCAGAAGTCATCGCCTGCTAGCTAAATTTGAAAAGCTGGCCAGCTTATCAAAGAGGCCAAAGCTGATAAACCCTAGAGGGGCTGCTTATGGATGAATGGAAGTGCTACTGTCCTCTGAGCTTTCCTCCTGGCCCTTCCAGCCCCTCCCCCCCAATCCCTGCCCGCCTGCCTGCCTGCCTACGGTCCTCCCCCCCAACACAGTGTAGCCTCCTGGGTTTGCATCTACAAGCCCTGGGGCCAGAGTGACCCCTCCTCCTCTCTAGTTCATCCCCGCCCTGAGTGCCTGCACCTGAGCCTTCCCAAGGAACACTGCCCACGAGGCCCTGCCTCCCAGAAGCCCACCCAGTGTGGCTCCTCCAACAGACTGACTTATGTCCCTGGCTTTTTGCTGATGGCCACCTCTGAGTGTCCTCACTGTACTTGCTTCTGGTTTGGTGGCTCACAAATGTTCTCAATACCTTCTTACTATTGGGAAGTGGGAATTTGATCTGTCTTACTCTGGTGGGGAACCTGAGTCTGGGGGGAGGGTGGGTTTATTCCCCGGGCCACATGGCTGGTGACATGGTGGGATGCATCCTAATGTCAATGTTCTGATCTCTGCACAGCTTCACTCATGTGACCACATACCCTGAGGACCAAGGAGTGGTGTGCTCTCCTTCACGCTGGGCTAGAAGGGGATCAGGCAGATCTGTAAAGGAGCAGTTTATTACGTTGATGTGTGTGCACCTGTGTACACGCACCCTGGGTTGAGTTCATATGCACCACATACATGCAGGTGCTTCAGAAGGCCAAAAGAGGGCGCTGAGTTCTCTGCAACTGGAGTTACAAGTGGTTATAAACTGACTGTGAGTGCTGGGAACTGAACCTGGGTCCTCTGCAAGGGTACTCTTAACTGCCAAACCGTCTCTCCAGCCCCTGACATAAGCCTTAAGGTCAGTTGAGTCAATTCATAAGAATACAACTGGGGGATCCCACGGGAAGACCACAGTTAGGATTGTAGGAGACTGCTATGTGATCTTCCCAGTGACTGGAGCATTTCCTGTCCTTCCAGCGATGACGAGAATTCCTGTTGCTCTGCATCCTCATTAGCAGTCGACAGCGTCAGCTCCTTGGACTCCCAAATTTTTCGGACAGCTCCTTACAGGAGACCAAAGAGAGGTTT